TTACCTCAGAGCGGGAAATGTCAATCTGCCTCAGTGGGGTTTCAAGCAGATTGAGGTTACTTGTACCAAGAAGAATAACCCAAGGGATGTTTTTACCCACTGGAACGTCGAGAGCCATTGGAATGAAAAGCGTAAGTTCGAACCCTTTCGTTTCGGTATTATCAACTCTTGGGGTGGGTTTAACGTTTCTTGTAACAGTTCCAAATGCGGATGTCAAGGCATTCAGATCGCCGTTTCTTCGTGATTTCATTCACTTGAATGTTGCTATGATGACCTCCAACAACGCTTTGGTTCCAGATCCCGACAAGCAAGACGACCTGGCATCTGCTTACTGGCAATGGCCGATTCTTCACGTTGGGTTGAGGATGTGCAGCTGGGATGATGGTATCGTTAAATACTTCCTTTTGGGAAACCCTATGGTGTACTGGGGATCGACTCTGGCACTCCCCCTATTCTCACTTTTGGTCCTTTTATACCTCATCCGGTGGCAGCGTGGATATAACGATCTGGATGGCGAGGGAATTGATCACATTCGCGCCGCAGGAATATACCCTCTTATCGGTTGGGTCTTCCACTATGTTCCTTTTATCGCCATGGCGAGAGTAACATATGTTCATCATTACTACCCTGCTCTTTATTTTGCGATCTTGGTATTTGGGTTTCTTTTTAATCATCTCACCAATAAGTTGCCCAAGACAGCAAAGTTGGCTGTATATGGTGTGGCCTATGTGGCTATCACCGGCGTTTTTGTGCTCTTTATTCCAATCTCGTTTGGTATGACGGGCTCATCAGAACAGTACAAGTATTTGAATTGGCTGGTAAGTAGATGCAACACATCATCCCAGAGCATATAGACTGTGCGTGGGCTAACATTGACTTAATAGCCTACCTGGAGAATATAAATTTGTTAGATTGGGGGGCTCGGGGAAATGGTTGGCGGGTTGGCGCATCAAAATGTTACTAGAAAGTTAGTGTGCTAGGAAAAAAGCGGGAAATAATGAAATAAAAAAGCAGCAAAAAATATAGTAATTTCCTCTATTTGTTCATAGGTTCAATTTCATGTCTGTGTTTTGTTTTCGGGAATTGGCGGGGTGTTCAGTGCTGTATGGGTGGGTGGATGCCACCTGTCATGTCATAAAAGATTGTGTTTTGTAGCCTGTGTAATTTACTAGTCTTGAAGCCTTAGCCTCCCGAGTGATAGCTTGTGTATCAAAATGGAGTATGTCTTAATATATAAACGGGCCTCACCAGAAGGCTTCAAATGATTCCGCCAAGGTCCCCACTTCCCCCTGCGGCCTTGATATAACAGCGGTGCGCCGGAATTTTAGGCCCACCCAGTTGAGTCCCGTAGGATAAACCTGGAATGAAACACCACTACCCACTTCACCGCTTCCCCTCCGTCCTAGCCTATAATAATACTTGGCCCAACTTCCTCAGCTCATATAGGGACATACAGGGACGCCCTCGCATGAACTCATAAAGGCGCCAA